CACCTAGCGGTGACTACAAGCACTGAAATAAGCTGAAGGCGTGCCACCACTAGAGTTGATAAGCTTTTGTGTATAATAGGCAACACTAAAGTAGAAGAACTATCACAAGCGATAGATCTAAAGTTGCTTTTTTTATTTATACTAGATATTTTTAAGAATAGTGAAATAATTCTGGAGACGTGAACATTTTTAGATTTGTGATCTATTTTTTCAAAAACTCAAACATTTTTTAAGTCGTGAACATGGAAAAATGTGAACAAATTTTTAAAAATGAGATTTTTTTTAACATATGAAAACAAGAACACAAATTGAAAAGGCGAAAAGCAAATTGGGTGTATGAACGATTTTTGAAAACAAAAACATTTTTCGAAACTCCAAATAAAATTTTAAGACATGAAGATTATTTCAAATTTGCACACATTTTCATTCATGAGGGAGATCTTTGAATGTGAAGTCATGTTGCCTTGCTAAACACGCTTTGGGGCTTGGTGTTGACATTTGCAATCAATAAGGTTCACTTAAAAACGCTCCGTATATGTGCGAGAGGGCGAAAGGTGGAGGCGGCTCGACAGTCTTTATCAATATTTGTGTAATGCCTCTGAACATTTTGAATGGATAAACCCTGTTTTACCTTTTAAAAAAGTTTGAGTCCCTTGGGACAAACTGGATGGTGCCTGTAGCAGGCTTCTGCGGGGCTCACCTTAACGTGGTACTCGTCGGCGACGTGTGGCATCCTATGACGGATGCCAACCCCTACGCCAAGAGAGTCTCAAAAGGGAATGTGATGAGTATCGATGCCAGACTTTTAAATGGATTGACCAATATATATGTTGGGATTCGCCGGATTATCACTTGCGCCTCCGTAAACTCGCAAGAGAAGTGGGCTGGCGATTTTCTGGAAGACTGTCGAACACACACACTCCATTCCTTGTCAGAGATAAGTACACAATACATTTTACATTTTGGTCCTTGCCAAACTTCTATCTTTGCTTACAGGTACTACCAACACTCCCCCTCAAGATGGGGCAAATATATTTATGAGCCCCATCTTGCTACATAGTTTTTCAAAAGATACAACGCTAACACCCTTTGTTAATACATCTGCAAGTTGATTTTCAGATCTAACAAAGTCAACTTGGAGAAGTCCCTCGTCTAGCTTTTCTCTTATGAAATGTCTATCAATTTCGATGTGTTTAGTTCTATCATGCTGGACTGGATTGTGTATTAACTTGATTACAGCCTGGTTATCACAAAAAAGTTGCAGTGGTCCTCCATCAAAAAGCCTAAGTTCAGATAATAGTATCCTCAACCACATCAATTCACATAGTCCTGAAGCCATGGATCTAAACTCTGCTTCAGCAGTAGATCGTGCCACCACACTTTGTTTTTTGCTCCTCCAACTAACAAGATTACCACCAACGAAAACACAGTAGCCAGATGTAGACCTTCTATCGTCTAGGCACCCAGCCCAATCAGCATCAGTAAACCCTCTACTTTTAAGTGTCCATGATTAGAAAATAGAATCCCTCTTCCCGGACAACCTTTAAGATATCTTAGTATTCTGTGCACAACATCTAAATGACTTGATCTCGGGTCATGCATAAATCTGCTCACCAAGCTAACAGCATAGGCAATGTCTGGCCTAGTGTGTGATAAATAAATTAACCGACCAACTAACCTTTGATATTGATGTTTGTCCACAGGATCACCAGAATCTGCTCGAATACGATGGTTCTGCTCAATTGGAGTTGTCGCTGGTCTACAATTTAGCATGCCAGTTTCAGCGAGTAAATCAAGTACATATTTTCTTTGCGATAAGTAAATGCCTTGTGATCCATATGCAACCTCAATTCCCAGGAAATAATGAAAAAAACTCAGATCCTTAACTTCAAATGACTTGGCCAACATCTTCTTTAGGAATGCTATCCCATCATCATCATTGCCTGTGATCACAATATCATCAACATACACAATAAGGATGACAATCTTGCCACTCTGGTACTTAAAGAAACGGGTGTGATCTGCATTGCTTTGTCGATAACCAATAGAGCATATCTCCTTTCTAAGTCGTCCAAACCATGCTCTAGGTGACTGTTTCAAACCATATAGAGACCTTTTCAGCCTACACACTTTACCCTATGTTTCTTGTGTACCAAACCCAGGGGGAATCTCCATATAAACCTCTTCTTTCAAATCTCCATGAAGAAAAGCATTTTTAACATCCATTTGAAATAACCTCCACTTATTATTTGCAGCTATAGATATGAGAGCCCTAATGGTGTTCATTTTCGCCACTGGTGCGAAGGTCTCATCATAGTCCACTCCATAAGTCTGACTATACCCCTTTGCCACTAACCTGGCTTTATATCTTTCTACTTTTCCCTCTGAATTTTGTTTTACAGTAAATACCCATTTACAACCAACAGCCCTTTTGTTAGGAGGAAGAGTAGTGAGTACCCAAGTATTATTTCTATCAAGTGCTGTCATCTCCTCTATCATAGCAGCTCTCCACTCCGGATATTGTTTCGCCTCCTGCCAATCACGTGGTATAGGTAGAGTGGAATCTAGTGCATCTATAAATGATTTATATTGGGAGCCCAATGACACATATGAGACATAATTAGAAATATCATATTGAGATAGATTTGA